AGTGTTGTGCGTGTCTCCCGAGGCAGATGAAGCTCCGTCTCGTCTATGTCCGGGGGTGGTATGCCTAGAACGGCATTCACAGGTCTAGAGTCTACATAACTCGAGACTGAGTCCCTGTGAATGCCGTTCAGGGCCTGTCGGTAAGCTGTTGGGTCCAGAGGTTGCTTAATGAACCTCTGGACTTCGTCCGTCAGTTCATATAGATGCCTCCTGACGTGCCTAGGCGAGGGCTCCTCAGAAAGCAGCTGTCTGCTTGGGTGGCCACTTCTGTGGCTCCCAATCAGGAACTGCTTGCAGAGCATTATATTGTGCTCCTTTACAGGGAGCATTTGCGCCTCGCCGTGTATGTGGTGTTCAGGCGACATCAGGAGGCATCCTGTCGCTGTCCTGAGTGCGGTGTTCTGTACAGTCTGTAGCTTCGTCCACTGCGTCCTACTAGTCCTTGGCGACCACACTGGCGCTGCGTAGTTCAAAACCGGCCGGCCTATTGCCTTGTATGTTGCCAGCAACGTTTCTTTGTCTTTGCCCCAAGTACTGCCGGCTAGCGACTTGAGGACCTTGTTGCGGCTCTGTACTTTATTGACAATAGCGGTTGAGTGCGCAGAGAAGGAGAGCAGGCTGTCGAATGTTACTCCGAGTATTTTGGGGTTATTCACCATCGGAATTGGTGTGTCATCGACGTGAATCCCCAGCGGTAGCCTGACCTCCTTCGTCCAGGTTGTGAACAGGGTCGCGGAGGATTTCGTAGGGGAGAGGGCTAGACACTTTGCAGCGACGAAGCGAGAAAGTTCGGAGAGATACCCGTTTACTTTCGAACACAGGTCATCAATTCCATTCCCAGTCGCCATGATCGAGCAATCGTCGGCATAAGAGACAATCGAGACTCCCTCTGGTTGTTGAGGGAGTTTTGAAATGTAAAAGTTAAACAGTAGCGGGGAACCCACCCTGACACCACCCTGAGGAACCCCCTGTTTTATTTTTCGCTGTTTACTCGTTTTGTCTCTAAACATTACCGACGAATGTCGACCACTCAGATAATTTTCCGACCACTGTTTAAGCCTCTGTGGGAGAGAGGAGGCCTCTATATCTTCTAGTAGCGTGGAATGGCAGATGGTGTCAAACGCCTTTGACAAGTCCAACGCTACTAGAATCGTTCTCTCACAGGGACGGTTTCGGTTAAGGCCACGAGTTATCTGAGTGTTTATGGCGTTAAGTGCTGTTGTTGTACTGCTCACTTTACGGAAACCATGCTGATGCTTCGCTGGGGTCAGGTGGTTTGTGAAGTACGGGAGTAGCAAGGCCTCGAGTGTCTTCGCTACCGGGGAAAGGAGTGTTATCGGACGATAAGAATCTCCTTTGTTGGCAGGTTTCCCCGGTTTGAGCAGTGGGACCACTCTCCCCACCTTCCAGATGTCTGGGATGATGAGAGTGGCCATTGACAAGTTGAGGACCTCCGTTAGGTACGCTACCCCCGCAGGACCCAAATTTTTCAGCATCAGCATGCATATTCCGTCGGGACCCATGGCTTTGGAGGCTTTCGCCTTCCCGATGGCCACCTGAACTTCACCGCAAGTGAAAGCAAGGGGGGCACAGGTTGTTGGCAGTTTGTGCAGCCTTCTGGTCACTCGACGCTTGGCTTTGTCCACCGGAGGATGCAGTATGAGCTGCCGGCTAAAATAGCTCGCGCATCGCTCCGGGTCCGACGAGGCATGGTCGCCGAAGGAAATTTCGACTCTGTCGTCGTGCTTCGTCGGATTAGACAGTGACCTCACGGTTGACCAAAGCTTGCTCACACCAGAGGTGAAATTACAGGTCTTCAGATGCTCCTCCCACTTCTTCCGCTTATGTACGTTTACTAGTTGCCGAATCTCCGCGTTGAGATCCCTGATACGGGGATCTCCGGGATCGGCCTGACGAAGGCTATCACGCTCATCACCTAGAACAGCCGCTTCGGCAGCGAAGTTTGGACATGGGTCCGATATACATCGTGCCGGTATGAAGCGAGCTGCAGCAGCAGTGACAGCCCAGCGGAACTTACGTTCACCGAGATGGACGTCGGTTGGTGTGGGGAGCGCTGTGAAGGTGTTTTCGGTAAACTCTGCGTAACCTTTCCAATCAGCTTTAGAAAAGTTGATATAGGTCCGGTGTTTGGCGGAGGCAAAGTCGGTTGGTTTATCTATCGAGATGACTATGGGTAGGTGGTCTGATGCTAGAGTCAGCATAGGTCGCCATGTTATGCTGTTTATCAGGCCAGCGCTGACTATTGTGATGTCTGGCGAGCTACTGCAGTTACCCATAATCCTGGTGGGTGCGTCGTCGTTCATTGTGCAGAATGTCGAATCGTCTATCTGCTCAGCCAAGTCTGTTCCCCTACGATCGTTTGACAGGCTTGAGTGCCAAAGATCGTGGTGCGCATTAAAGTCACCTACTACCATACGGTTTTCACCTCTGAGGAGCGCACCTATATCAGGGTGATACCCTGCCGGGCAGCAGGTGACAGGGGGTATGTTAAATATTTCGAGCTCGACATCGCCTGACCGGATAGCGATGCCCTGACATTCTAGGGTGGTATCCCTGCGGTCGATGTCTGCTTCGATTAGACGAAACTGCACGGTGTGGTGCGTGATGAACGCTAAGCCATCACCATTATCTCGCTCGCGATCTCGACGGTGCACGTTGTACCCGGCGCAATTCAACAAAGTTGAATTGCTGTGCAACTTCGTCTCTTGGACCGCAGCTATCAATATACCATGCCGACACATGAAGACGGTTATCTCCTCAATCTTGCTCTGTAGCCCGTTGCAGTTAAATTGAAGGAGCTTCATGTGGTTCGGGAGACGTGTCGTGATGTGGGGTGTAAGTGATGTGTGTGTTCTTGCCGCCGTTGGCTGTGTGCGCTGCTGTGATGATTGCCGGCCTGTGGTGGTGGCGGGGGGGCGTCGCAATGGGGGTCTGCGACCGAGCAGCGCAACACGGGCCCTCGAAGTTCCCAGTCCAATCTCGCGTGGTACGCAGACCTGAGCATGCCCTAAAGTGGCACCAGCCAAGGCAGGTGTTGCACTTGACTGATGTCACATTACGGAATATCCTGGTCTGACATACCGTGCAGATTGTAGGGGGAACCAGGAGTTGTTGGCGGCGGCGTGTGGGTGGTGGTGCGGTTGTGTGTGTTATGTGGTCTGTCGTGGCTGTGGTATGGTCTGTGGTGTTATTATGTTGTTGTGTTGTGGTGACTGTGTGAG